CCCTAGTCAGTATAGCCATTCCCTTCCTTCCTTGACAAGATTCTGTTGAGCACCAACTATGTGTTGACACTGGCCCACGACTTTGAGATACTAGCCATCTGCTGAAGGAAAGAAACTCATAAACACTGCATTACAATGCAGTAGGATAAATGGTATAGTCGAGGAATGTGTGTGCCAAGGGGGTCCTTCTTGGGAAGGAGTATAAGGCTATTCAGAGGAACTGACTTTTAAGCTGCAAGACTAGGAGATTTCCAGACGAAGCAGGGCAGAAAAGGCATTTCAGGAAATAAGGAAACATGCATGAGAAAACACACAGTATATGAAGCCAGTTGAGTAGTTCCCTGTGGCTGGGGAGAAATAGGAGACCCAGCAGGTAAGAAGGTTAGTATCATGTTCAAAGGGCTTTGAAAAATTAGCTAAAGGAAACAGCAGGAACTGGAACAAAATTGTTTAGCAGGGGAGTGACATGATCAGATTCTTCTTTTCAGGTAATTTAGCAATCTGTGTGGAGGATTACTTGGGACAGGGCAAAAGGTACCTATGGCAAAAAGGCCAGCTAGCGTTTAAGTGACCAATGATGAGAGCCTTTATGGACCAGAGAGAGAGGGTGGAATCAGTAGCCAATTTGATGTGTGTTGTAAAGGAGAGGAGCGAGGCACTGTGGGGACTGTAGTTTCTTTATGGAACCGTGGTTAACAGTGTTGAGCAAAATAAGAAACATAGGAAAAGAATTTTGTGGAGGAAAATAAGAAGTGTGTTTTGGTATGTGGAGAATTTGAGGTACCTTTGAGATATCAAGATAGAAATGGAAAAATCTGTAGGTAGTGTGTATATATATATATATATATATATATATATATATATATATATGGAACTAGTCAAAGGTCAGTTGAAATACCTACCACTTTGGAGAAAGAGAGAATTGATAATGTCATTCTGGGTCTTGAAATGTATATGAGAGAGAGAGAGAGAGAGACAGAGAGAGACAGAGAGAGAGAGGACTCATAAAAAAGATAGGGGAAGCTGATGTCACAGAAATTAAAATGAAAATCCATGAGTGCAGTTGAAGTCATGAACAGAGGCTAAGGATGAGAAGAGGAGACAGCCTGTCCAGATAGACCCCTGAGCAAACAAGTGCTCTTCTGTTGTTCTCTCCCCTCTAGCACCTTTCAAATTTTACATGGCCAGCCTCTCCCTTCACCCACTGAAAATGGTTAAGTTTGCTGTTTGCTCTTTATTTCCATTTTCTAAGAAACACACTTGGATGATAGAAGAAATTTTTTTTTTTTTTTTTTTCTGAGAAAGACTTCCCTTTCTTTTCCCTTAAAACATTTGAGGCATTTTACAACTTAAACCAGGCAGATTTTTTTTCCTGGGAGCTACATCCATAAAATAAATGCATGATTGGTGTAGTCAGAGACCTCCAGAGAGGTTCTGTGGTTATTTTTAGAGTGAACGTGAAGATGAAGTGCAGGCAGATGTGGCTGGAGGAGCAGAGAACGGGGTGAGGGAAGGAGGAGAGATATGGCTTGGAGAGACCGCATGTCCTTGAGAAGAGGAAAGGGAGCTGGTTCCTTAAGGCACAGTTTCCAAAACTGCAGTCATTCATTCACCACCTTCATGGTTTTTGTGAAACTCCCCATACCACATGCACAATAATTTTTTTCTCTCTAGATCAATTCACTTTTTAGACTTAAAAACATTTGTACAAAACAGGCAATATACCTTTTGAAAATGGAGACGTGCCTAACAGTGAGTAGGTAGGGGGACTAGTTTTAAAAGTTAAAGTCTTCCATAAAGAATTAGAAATGATTACATTCTGGCTGCGTACTCTTGCTTGCCCATGGCTATGAACATGAAACATGCTCACTCTTGGCAAAGAAGTGTGATAAGTAAGCATTAGAAAGGTTTTGAAGACATTCTAGCACCAAACTCAGATTTTTCCCTCTGGGTAAATCAGAAGAATTGAAATGAATTTGAAAAGAGAACCTTCTCACTAGGTAATTCAATACTATTTAATCTTAGGTACCTGCAGGAGGCAGGCAGAAACCCTTTGAGTAGCTTGTCCTAGGATTAATGCTAAGGAGAGGTGAGGAGAGTGTTTGGGGGTATAAACAGCCTGGAACCAGCTTGAGTCATAGAGCCAATCCCCACACCCTTCCATTCCCTTGGAGCCCACGGCAGTCAAAACTCCAAGGAGTTCATTCTTCCTGGTGTACTCCTGAGAATACATGGAATCTTTGGGCATTAGTTTTGGTGCTGTGCTCCTTGGTGAGGTAGGATCTATCACAGTGATCCATGGTAAGAAGAATGCCAGTGAGGCTTTGAGGAGCGGGTGGGCAGAAGGCTCCTCTTGGAGCAGAGAGAATGAGTTGGATAGAACCAGTGACCCCACGTGTCTTGATGGAAGCAAGCAGCATAGCCATAGGCTTCGGCTGATGGGGCCACTTAGAAAACCTTATGGATTGCTAACTTAGCAGCAACATCTCCAGAGAATAAGACCCAGCAGGCAATCCATCATGCATCCATGTGCTTTATGTTCAGTGACGTGCACTCGGTCCATCCATCATCAGGGAGAGACTGCAGCTTAACAAGGCCCGAGGATGAGTATTTCACATCATTTATTTATTAGTTTGCAAGATCTGACTTTCCAGGATACCACACAGGGTTTGAAGTCATTTGAAATGTTAAAAAAAAAAAAAAAAAAAAAAAAAAAAGACGTGCACTCGGTCCATCCATCATCAGGGAGAGACTGCAGCTTAACAAGGCCCGAGGATGAGTATTTCACATCATTTATTTATTAGTTTGCAAGATCTGACTTTCCAGGATACCACACAGGGTTTGAAGTCATTTGAAATGTTAAAAAAAAAAAAAAAAAAAAAAATGACAACTCTCATCTTCCCACTGTTACTGTGATGGAGATGTTGTTCTGATCTCTTTGCTTTCATCAAACTAATTGCCTGTTCCTTCACAATGGCTTAGATACAATGATATAGATACTGTCTGGGAGAACAGTCTGGCTTTGAATGGTAATGAGGGATAGAGGCATGCAATGGCTGCTTTTCTTGGAAAACTGGAAAGGGATGTGTGGATAAAGGTTTGCCAGCCCATCCAGGGGTAAATTTAGAATGTTTGCTTGGGATATTTGAAGTAAGTACTAGAAAAATGCAAACATTCTCAGACTTGTTGGAAGGTTGTAGTTTAGCCAAATATTACTATTTTTAATTCAGCCTAGAACATCAGAATGTCAGAACTGAAAGGGACCATAGGGACCATCTAATTAAAGGCCCTCAATCTTCAGATGAGGGAACTCAGAGGCCAGAAACGATTTGCCGAAGGCCAGGGCAAGAAACTCGATAGTAGATTGGAAAATAAACATTTGTCCTTTCCACTTACATAAGCTAAATAAAAAGTCATCTGAAGGTAATAGAAAATACATCATCTGGCTGCTGAAAAAGAGACTTTTCAAAATTTAAATGGAAGTTCGTTAAAAATAATTATATTTGTTTATGAGGAAAAGTTTTTGTCCTCCCTAACAGTCTAGACATTTAATGATTTTTGTCCTCCTGGTGATTAGGAAATTTGCTTAAGATGGGGGATATAAAAAAAGAAGGAGCAAAAGGTAAGCAATTGATGAGACTCCCTAATTTTTCTTTCCAATGCACAAGCCTTTTCCAGAGCCCACTTTTAAGAGGGGATATTTCATGCCAGGGTAAAGGGCATTTTTTTTTTCTGAGAGGTCCTGAAGCTCCTGTTATTGTTATTGGTGAAAAAACTTTGTGGTCCTTTGGCTCTTGGGTATAAAGTGTTGACAGTTCAGTGAGAAAAGGCCCAAGGCCTCACCTAAGGGTAGGGGCCCCCTGACTACCAGGCCCCCATCCCTTGCCAGGATGAAACCTCAGGATTCTGCTAGAAGGAATGAGACATTTTAAAAAGAAGGCACAGGCAGCCCAGTTGGGCTTCAGTTTGCTCAGGCCCTAGCTGCCTTTCTCATCAGAGAGAGAAAATAATACAGAAAACCAAAGCATATACACTTTTGTTAAACAAAGTTAGATTCCATCAACTGAAATGACTGCTTTAGACCACTTTTCCAGTGTGCCACCGAAAGTAGACTTCCAGCTAAAGGGGCGTTGATTTTTCCAGTAGTAACAGGAATAAGCTCTTGGATTTGTACAGAAATTTACCGTTACAAAAGGCATTCAGGTATGTTTTCTCATTTGTTCCTAATGGCAAGTCTGAAGAGGGATAATTGTTCCCACTCTACAGATGAGGAAACTGAGCTCCAGACAAGTAAGCAGGCGTAGACTTGGGGATTTTGACTCCAAGTTTAGTGCTCTTCCAACTGTATGCTGTTTCCCTTCTATTACTTATAAAAATTCACTCTATTGCAGCAACCTTACCCCCTGCTGGAAAGAAACAATGTACTTAGAAATGAATACACAGTGCTTAGCACAGTTCTTGACATATAGTAATTGTTGGCATGTGATAGCTACTGTGGAGGAAGAGGCTCTGTGGTACAACAATCAAGATCATAGGGCTTGGGATCAGAAGGATCTGGATTTGAGTCCCAAGACTCTGAATATTTGGTTGGAGAGCACCCCCCTGCTCTCTGAAAATGCTTTATGGGAGTGGAGCCAAATGGCTGAACTTCTCTGAGGACGCTAACGCCTACCTCACAAGGTATACTGTGAAACGAGACGCAAACGGGCGTGCAGAGCTTAGCAAGGCGCCTGTACTCGGTATTCAGTAAGTGGAGGGATGATGATCTCAAGCGGCTTTGCTCATAGACCTTGTTGTGAGGAAACAAAGCAATGCCTGCCTTGGAACCAGACGTTAACATTTCATAGTTAGACACCTTGCTTTTTAAGTCTCAGGTATTCAAAGGCCTCCTGTCTTTGCCCCTCTCTTGAATTTCTGTGCCTAAGAGAGCTTACAAGAATGTCCTGTGGACCCTGCAACTTCTCTGCTCTAAAGAGCAGGCCTCGGTTGTGGCCAGGTACCTGTATATGATGCACGCTGTGTTCTGGCAGGTACTGCAGTTGTTGAGATCTTGGCCAGTTCGGTAAAAGTTGCGCCTGCAAGATAGAGCATTTGCTAGATAAATCTATGCGCAAAATCCCCCTGGGATGCACGCATTCTACAGACTCATTCCCTGCAGCACAGCATTGCCCCTCTCATGAGCACCAAAGCCTGGCCATTACAGACACAGAAACAAGAAACCCCTGTTAATAGAACCTCACATTTCTAGAGTGCTTTATAAATGTTTAAGCACTTTGACATCTGGGTTTTCTTCATGCTGACAATAACCCTATGAGATGAGCCAGTTATTCTTACCCCCGCATGATAGATGGGGAAACTGAGAGACTTTGCGAATGAGTAGAGGAAGATGATTAAGACTCCAGATCCCTTAGTTCAGTGCATTTCTCTCTGTATCATCACAGTGATTCTCTCTTATAAGGCAATGTTGATTCTGATCCATATCAGCAAAGGCCAGTTAATTACTTCTGCCCTCTCCTGCCCTTTTGTTGATTAGCTTTGGCCATTCCTTCTTCTCAGTCTTTAGAGAGCACTGTTTCAAGGAAAGAACAACTCACACCTAAACAAATAACTGCCTTCCCCTCCCCGGACTGATGCTGAGTCATCCAGGAAAGCATTTTGTGACATTTTTCTCTTTGCAAAATTGTGATCTCATTTCAGTTTCCATTTAGCTGGTCCATGATGGACTGGCCCAAGCCTTCAAAGTGGTCAGTGGTGGGGAAGGTCAACAGTAAGCTTAGTGGCCACCTCAAGTCCTCTGTGACAAACCCATAAATAACTAAAATACTGTGCAAATGCAGTACCTTGCTTCAAGGATGGGGGTGGGGGAAGCACCTACATGCTATCATTTTCCCCCATCATTTATCAGCTGGACTCACATCTTAATAAAAATCACTTTTGACTCTGCTGCTTCATTGCCCCCGTTCTGCAGTCTGTTGACATCTGGAAACAAAAACACATCACCGTGGAAATCCACCAAAGCCTACAACCAGGCGAAACCCAGTCAGAACAAAGGGGGACCATTGCTTACAATTTGGGGAAGCAACAGAATCTCAAACATTTTGGAGACATCTTACTAACGGAAACCAGTGCTCTCTCTCTGCCCCTATCCCGGCAAGTGACTTAACCCAATAAAAAAAATCCACCTTACCCTTCTGTGAGAGCTCGAGCTTTCTCCAAGTCTTGAATTACATTCAGAAGGACTTTAATTTTCTCTTGGTTTGAGTGCAGAGATTCCTCCACGGATTGCAGCCTGCCCTGGAGGTCGCAGAACTCACCCCGTGCCAGGTGGATTGGATTAAGCGCACCCATCTCCGTGGTGCCCCGCTGTCTGGTCTCCCTCCTTGGAAGAGAGGATGGGAGGTGATCGCTTTCTGGACAGTTTTGAAACGCTGGGATGTGTGACTGGAAGGGGTTCTTTGCCATCTGCTCCTGACACACAGGGGCAGGTTTTGACTCACCGTTAGTTTTGAGTGACTGCAGATCCTGGTGATTGTTACTCGATGAAGCACAATCTGAAACTCCCCCCGGCTGGGCTGGCCGGCTGTGGGAGCCCGGCGAAGGGGAGCTGTGAGTCTGTGGATGTGAGGGAACACACGTTCCCTTTGACTGAGATGACAGTGGGCCAAGGTCTTTGTCGTCAGGGTTATCTTTGGGCAGAAGCATTTCAGGTTTAAGTTCCCCTGTGCCGGGCGTGCGGTGGGCCCCGCTGGTGGCATTTAAGCAGGAGAGGGGTCTTTCTGAATCTGACGGTGGCACTCTGCTCCCATCACCTGGACACATGTCAACCGAAGTGGGTATGGAGTTGCTAATCTCAGCAGACCTGTCTGGGCTGAAAGTGGACTCTCTACCTGCCCAGGTAGGGCTGCGATAAATATCATCTGGGACCTGAATGGCAGCTGTTGCTTTCCCTGAGGCCCTCCGTGTCCCTGCTTCCAAACATATGCTCACAGGCCCATTGCTTTGCACCTTGGACATTCTAGGGAGAACTGGGTGGGACGCCTTGACCCTTTGAGGCCCATCTTCAAGATGCCGAGACAGCCTTAAGTAGGCAAGGTCAGAGGACACAATGTCCTGTTCAGAGAGATTGCCGTTCACCTGGATGGCACTTTGGGATGCTGTCTGCATTTCCACCAGGGACTTGCTAGCTGTGAGTCTCTTCCTTTTGAAAACTGGGAAGTGCTTCCTGAGACTGGGGGAGGTTTGGATGGCGATGTGCCGAAAGCCCCCTACCTTCTGGGACCTGGGGAAGGGGAGTGAGGAGGTAGGGAGGTGATGGTGCCCGGAGGCCTGAGTCTTGCCCATTACAGCCGGGTCGTCAGAAGTTTGGATGTCAACCTCAGCTGGGGCAGGTGGAGTCTTACTGGTGCCATCTTCCTTAAATCGCACCTGCTGAGATTTGCTCCTGCGGTGGTGAGGTTGCTTCACAAGCTCCACCGACTCCAGACTGTTATGCTTCAGAAGCACAGGCCTCACTTTCATACTTTGCTGGGCCATTGAGCCTCAGTTGAAAGGATTGGGACCACACACTTCTCCTGGGCACATTGCCTTAGGTCTTTGGAGCAGCATCTAATGACAGCATCTCAGACACAGAGATCTGCCAGCCGGGGTGGAGTGGTCCTCTCCTCTGAGTATGGGCAGCTCTGCTGGCCATTCCCAGCCAGTAGGTTTTATTGGGGGGCTCTCCGTAATGCTTCCCCTGCAGTTAAAATATTATTCCATTGCAGGGGTAATTGCCACTTAGGTAAACAAGGAGTTAGGCTAATTATTAAACCTGATCGACCACGAGAGCTGGTGGGCTGTTTATCAAGGGAGGCTGGCAGGCAGTTCTGATCCTGGAAGAAGCTTGCTGTCTTGAACAAAAAGACAATGAAAGTACCATATAGGGGATAGCGCCAGACTGCCAACATGTGAATTCCAAAAGAAACCTGCTACGTCTGGAACATACGGCTTCCTTTCTGGGAGCGTCAATTTGCAGTGTAAAACTACAGGAAACTTAAACATATCTTTCCATTTCATGTAAACGGGCAGAGAAATAAATGACCTGGGGCTTGGCTTCTTTGATGATACATGATGCTCCTAAGGGAGCATCCCCACTTACGTCAATCACGTATTCTTCCTTTGGGGCCATTGTTTTCTTTCATGCCGTTTCCCTTTTCTTCAGTGAGGGAAAGTTATCTGCCTAAATAGCCTCACAAAACCCAGTGGCGAGTGATGGGGACAGGATTGAGGCATCCGAGGGCATTCAGAGGGCAGAGTCCCTGTCGTGGTGTCTTGGCTGAAGTTCACATGTGGGAAAAGTGAGCCACATCGGCAACTTCTGGGTATTTGAGCCAAAACCTTGGTTCGCTTGGCCTCGGGGTCAGGGTCTGGGACCTGGCAGTCTCTGCCACCAGGCAAGGAGAGCCTGAAAGGGAAGAGATAACAGATGCAACTGAGAACACAGTTCCTGGGGGCCTGGGTTTCTCTCCAATTTCCAACCTCCCAGCTGAGGGCTTTTGATAGTGGATGGTCTGGGGGTAAGTCAATTTACTACCTTTGTGTCTTTTCCCCTAGTGAGCCAGCCACCTTGTGGCTACAGGGCCTCGGAACAAAATGCCTGTCTGCCTGGATTGCTTCCTCCTTCCGCTCTCAGGCATCCGCCAGCCAACTCCTATTCATCCATGAAGTCCCAGCTTAAATGGCACTTCCTCACGAAATTTTTCTAATGACTCCTCCCTCACATACACCTCTGATGCTACATCATATCAGGACCCCCATTATACCTTTTCACCACATTCTTCACAACACAAATTGTAGCTGTCCCTAAATAATCATTTGTGTACGTATTTATTTAATGTGTATCTCCCCTGCTACCCTGTAAGCTCCAGGGTGGCAGGAGCTGGAGCCATTTTTTTTTACAGCTTAGGTATTTCCATTCCTCCTTTAGGCTCACTGTGGGTGCTTAATGAGTATTTACTGAAAGAGAGGATGGCTGAATAAAGCAAAGGAGAGCCTGGGAATGGTGGATGGGGGTCCTAAGGTATCTTGCCAGGGCAACAGGATGGTGAATTCTCTCTGCTAGGACTGAAACATTTGCTAGAGGACAAGATTTTCCCCTAATGTCTTCATTTCTTAATCGCTTTCTAGGAGATAAATGTGCATAAAATTCTCCGTGCAAAGTGTACCTTGTAATAATAACAGTTACCGTTTATTGAACACTTACCTTTACCGTGCTGTGAGCTTTACTTGAATTAATCGTAACAACTCTCGTTTACCAAGTAGTCACCAATGCATCAGGTGCTGTTCTAAGCACTTTCCAAGCCATAACTCATTCATTCCCTGACCTATAGAGCTGGATACTCTTATTAACCCCATATTACAGTTGAATATGCTGAGGCCCAAGGACACACAGTTAGTGATGGAGCCAGCGTCTGAACTTAAACAGTCTGGCACCAGAGCCTGTGCTCTTAGCCTCAGTGCTCCACTGCTTTCCCAATATTACGTTATCTCATTGATCCTTGGAACAAAACTATGAGGTATTATGATCCCCATTGGACTGATGAGGAGACTGAGGCTCAGAGAGGATAAGTACCCAGTGGAGGAGCTGAGACATGAACCCAGGAGTCTGTGACTCCAAAGTCCATGTTCTTGCACACGAGGTTATGACTTTGTCCCCTTGGCATCTTCCTGGTATTCGGGGCAGATGGTATTAGTGATTTGAGTACAGAGTTTGAGGACCTGTGCAGGTCTGGAGAGATGCAGGCGATTGTGCCCTGGCCTTGCCATGGCAAAGTGAACCTGTTTGCTGCTAGTCTGAGGGAGCCCACAGAAGTGGAATGAGGCAAGTTTGAAGCCTGCTTGGGTCGACCAAAGGATATTACAAGAAAATGAAAGTGGTAAAATAGTCCACAAGTATTTGGATGTCTTTGAGGGAGTATTCTGTCTGTGGTACTTGGCCTTATCATTAAGGTCGAAACCTCTGGCTTCTCTAAGCACCGGGGCTTTGCTCCCAAGATGTTCTTCATCTTGCTGCTTGGGGTGCTGTTTTGTGGGTGCAGCTTAAGCCTTGTTTCTCAGTGTTCTGCTCTCCCCAGGAATTACTAGATAATGCCAATGGCAATTTCAGCTTTCCCAGCTCCCAGCTACCTTGAGAAGGGTCACCTGACCCAGTGGGGCTGGCACAGATAGTGGCAGGTCCTGAAAGAGGAAAGGATTTCATCTAGTGCTAATGAGTTGTCAACTTATCATGGGGTCCTGCAACTGCTCCTCACATTCTGGGTTCAAACCCCTGTCCCTTACGGGCTGAAGGGTTTTTGACAATACTTATTCCCTCCAAGCCTCATTGTTTTCATCTGTCAAATGGGGATGACACATAGAGCATAGGCACTACATATGCATGGGTCTGTTCGGGGAAGTAATAAGGCAATGCATGCAAAGCTCTCAGTGCAGAGCTCAGGACACACCAAGTGATCAGTGTGGGCTTGCTGTTGCTGTTAATACTGTTGTCACCACGCAATTAGCTTTCCTTTTTGTGAATGCGGGAGAGCATGTAAAGCTGCTATCTGCAGCTTTTCCAGAGCAGGTAGAGCCACTTTTGGTGCAGAGAATGGGCAGTCTGGGGGAACACTTGCCTCACCTGCCTGAAAAGCAGGGCTGGCCTATGAGAGCTGCATCGCCCTGTAACTCTGGGGAAATGGCCCTGTTGGTGAAGGGCTCCCCAGTCACTCTACACAGCAATCCCAAGCAACTCCATTTAAAAAATCAGTTTTGTGTTTCAACAACAGCAGAATTTTTAGATCTGGAAGAATCCAGTAGCTCATCCGCTCCTTCCAAGACTAAGTCTTCTCTCCATTGTCTTCTTCCTGTAATAAGTAAGCCTGCCTGGATACCTGTAGTGACAGGGAGCCCACTACCTAATCTCACAGTCAACAATAATTATTTTTATTAATATTAGCAAATATGTATTAAAAACTTGTTATTACCAAGCACTGTGTTAGCACTTGGCATTTAATCCTTAAAATGGCCTTTTTTATATGACCCCCCCCTTTTGCAGAGTGAGCAATTAAAACTTACTAGGTTAAGTCACATGCCTAAAACCACACAACCCGTATCTTTAACCCTTGTGCTGCAGAGCCTAGATATTTATATGTCTACTCGTGTGGATTTCTTTGCTTAATTGTCCTCTACCTTCTCCCTCTCCTTAACTGTTCATTAGTGCTTCATTCTGGGAAAGTTAACTCACTTAGACTACGATTGCCTGAAGCTGGTTTTCATAAGAGCTAATATCTAGTGAACATTGACTATGTGCCAGGCATTGTCATAGGTGTCCATTTACTCTTGTCCTTAATCTTCATGACAGTCTTAGAGGCAGGGGCTGTCAGTCACACATTTTGTAAATGAGGAAACTGAGGCACAGAAGCTTAAGTAATTTGTCCCAAGTCACGTACCTGCTGCACCCAAGGACTCCTGGAGTGTACTCCTAACCACTGGGGTTTCCTGCCTTCTCCAGAACTAGGAAAGGACTAATCTTGTCAGGCTGTTAGGCAGGTTTCAAAGTCACTCCACATTTTCCTTCTTGAAAGTCAGCCATCATTCTGCTTTTCACCCTGCTTTTTCTCCAGGAAATGTGTATATCCTTGACATGTTTTGTTTTGATCTTTGAAAACAGTTTTCTATTTTCAAATTATTACATGTTCATTGTAAAAATTCAAATAGTACAGATAGACAAAGAAAGGAAGGAAAATCACTTGATTTCTAAGATAGATAAACAAAGGAAGGAAGGAAAATCGCTTGATTTCTCACCACCCAGAAAGAGCCACTATGTACCAATGATTTGGTGAAGTTCACTCTAGGCACCCTGCTGTGCAACATTTGCACATTCACAGTAGGCACATTGCATATGCGTGCACGTTTACAGGAAGACTTTTTTTTTACTGAACAACATGGAGAAAGTTCCACATTATGGCACATAGATTCACGCCATCCTTTTAAGTAGGCTAATAGCACTTTGTTGTCTAGTTATACCATGATCTATTCAAATAATATCCTTTTGTGGATATTTAGGTTGTTTCTAAATACTTGGTATTATTAATAATTCTGTAAATAACATGTTTTGCTGTGTGAACCTTGGAGCACTTGTCTTATTATTTTCTTGGAATAAACTTGTGGAAGAAGAATTAGTGGATTAAGGTACCTATAGGCATTTTACATTTTGTTGATATTACCTCTGCATCTGTGTTCATCAGTGATATTGGCCTGTAGTTTTCTTTCTGTGTGACATCTTTGTCTGGTTTTGGTGTCAGGGTGATGGTGGCCTCGTAGAATAAGTGTTTCTCCCTCTCCTGTATTTTGGAAGAGTTTGAGAGGGATGGGTGTCAGCTCTTCTCTGAATGTTTGATAGAATTCTCCTGTGAAGCCATCTGGTCCTGGGCTTTTGTTTGTTGGAAGATTTTTAATGACAGTTTCAATTTCAGTGCTTGTGTTTGGTCTGTTTATATTTTCTATTTCTTCCTGGT